TTTGTATCCAGTTCGGGAGTTTGGTGTTCTGCAGTAGCTGTGCCTGTATCTCTGGAAAGGGGGCCGATCACCTAAACGGTTTTTACCCCTTGTGTGCAAAACGGTCCGTTACAAGCAGCATGACACGCTTAAAGGCTAGTGAAACTACAAAAAAGGCACTAGTATGACAAGGGTTTAGATTAGACACCAGCAGAAAAAGAATAAAATCTCGCTTCATTTGAGATTAGTTTGGAGCCAGAATGATGTGACCTAGTGATACTGGGTCTATAATGCTGGGTTTGTGGCTAAATTGACGCAGATGCATCAATAAAGTGAGTATACCTTATGAAGTATAAGATTGGGTCGGGGTGGCCTTGAGATGGGCGTAGCCAGTGATGTGACTCATATCACTGGTGGTGTCCATTATAAGGGGCTGAATCACTCAAAAAAAGGCTGCTATTAGGCACGTCAGGTTAACTGACTGTCTCATTGCAGATTCTTGGCTGATATCAGCAAATCTAATGGCTAAAGTAGGACTCACCTTTTGGGGCTTGCCTTGACGTGGCAGATGAGCTTGTGTTCAAATAGCCATTGGAATAAAACTAAAGAACCTCCATTTTGTTTAAATGTACATAGGGATTTAGGCCAAAGCGCAGGTAACGTTCTCTTTGTTTTAACTTACATCCTGTCTGTCAAGCCCCCAACAAGCAGTTCCCAGTCCTGTTCACAGCCAGTGCCTGTGCTCGCACTGTGCTGCCCCGAGGACAATTTTATGGTGTCCAGCATACAAAATTAGGATGGCATGACAGGACCTCAAAATAGGGACTGTTCAGAAGCCTGTTAGTGAATGTCCTTACAAGGTGGCACTCTAAGGCCTATACTCTATACAGTACTGATCAAGATATATTGCTGCAAGTCTATAGGTGCTGCACCCCATTTTGTTGTCAGTAAAACAGAAAATGGTCTCTGTGGCCCATCCCCTTTTCTGCAGCAATGATAATGCAAACAAATACTGGGCTAGCCCGCCTCCACTTCTCCTAGCCAATCATTGCCATTCAAGGTGACAATAATTTCAAATGATATGTAGAGGTATAGCTAAAGAGGCAAAATGCTTTACTGGAGAAAGGCCAATTTTTATCAAACCACTCCAAAACAGTTTGACACAAAAAAAGAAAGGGGGGGAGGGAGCACCCAAAGATCTATAGCATAATAATCCCTACAATTACTTGTTAATGTTATAGTCCTAAGTATCACTCATTTCTTTATTTAACAGGCTTATAATAGAGCTAATTAACTGCTTCAGAAGATAAAATAAAATAAAAACCGGCACATGTACACGTAAATGTAAAACTAATAAAAGAAATATAGGAACAAAACCTTGTATCTACTGGCCACATTACAAGCAAAAATATTTTGTTCCTGCTGTTATTTTCTTTGTTTTTGTTTCTTGGGATTTAGTGACCCAACTAGTATGTTGTTTAAAAATTGGAGTGGAGACAAATGCAGTACCACATAACGTTTTATTTCACGTATCACACAGCAGACGAACAACAAAGGAAAATAAATTCAAATAAACAGTGGCTGCTGAAAGTCCTAAACTAGATAAATTAACAAGGGGTTTTTAAGAGCCTCTACTAAACTGTTTCCTACGCATTCACCACAAAATAAATAAACATGCATCCTGGGTCCCCTGATTAACCTGGAAAGCTTAATGAGCAGTCCCTTCTTGCTTTACCAGATGCTAAAGGTTATGGTCAAAGGTCTTCATAAAATTATTATCATCATTTATATAAAGTGCCTAGGTATTCCACAAAACTTTGCAATTTTACAATGCTGATATAAAATACCACGTAAACGACAAATTAATATGAACAGCTACAAGAGGTAAAACAAGCCCTGTTGAAACTAAGAGGAAGTCATGTCTAAAAAAAAGAAAAGGAAGAAGTGTGTCAGAGAGGAGGAGAGGCTGGTGGGTACAGCGTCTGTATCTATTTAGACTTGTAAACAAAGAGGTGGATGGACAAATATAGAAGGTGAAAAAGAGAAATGGACTGTGGAACCGCCGGCTTTGTGAGAAGAGATAGATGGGCTGGCTTAAAGTTAGAAATTACCCTGGGAGATAATAAACTTAAGGATTGTGAGTAAACCTTT